ATTAGAACAGAATCCATTCATCAATAGCTGCCTTTCAGATTCACACATGCTGTGAGTACTGTCGCAAGGTGGGCCACGCATCTTCAGTATCTCCCAGCTGGGCTTCTAAGAACCTGATACCTGCACACAATGTGGTGATGTGTGTCTACAGTATGTGTGTCGTGACCCAGGTCCTAACCTATAACGTATATACAAATAGTGCAGACTACATATAGAGACTCTGAGTAGCCTGCAGCTTTCTAAGTGAGGGAGAGAACAACCACAAAATGGGTTGGGATAACATCCCAGAGTAAAACCACATTCACAATAATTCCCTTAGTAACAACTTCATATAATATTCTAACTCTGCAAAAGACAGAGCAACTTAATTGTGCTTGAGTTCACATAAATAATAAAAATCACCAGTAAACACAGCAAGATATTTGCACTTTATTTGCTTTGCAGTAAGATAGTAAGGATAGCATAATACTGAACTACTAAGAAAAGTGTCTAAAATGGGGCATTCGGGGGGGTACAGATGTGTCAGGGTGATGGTGACACAGTCATTGTGCTCTGGAGACTTAACAGTTTTACTTGACAGGCCACTGTGGATTTATATAAACATACTGTGAGGTAATCCATGCAGTACAACAGAACTGTATGTTACTTTGATTGTGCCTGTATATGTGTGTGAGAGTAAATTTTAGTGTCCTGTGGAAAGCACAGAAAATGGGAGCCACTAATGTCCGTCTTGGGGCCACCTCATCTCCCACTAACAATTCTGTGGGCCCTTCTTTCTGGGTGGCTGGGTCTAGTTTGCATGGCCTAGCTGGAACCCTTTCAGTTTAGTCTCCCCCCCCACTAGACTCCCTGCTCCGGGCTTGCCTGCCACCCCATGAATACCAAGCAGGCTTACATGCACATACATACATGCACACATGAAATACAAGCTGGCTTGCTCTCAGCATAGTTGTACTAGGTCAGTCTTTAAGCCTGGCAACCGACCCTCCTCTGTCTCCATGTGCATGTGTATGCAATATACTGTACATTAGGATGTGTGTGTTTAAGATGCAATCATTCAGGCTCTGCTGTTCTTCCACAACTTTAAAAAGGGTCATACCAGTGGTTTTGCATGTTTAAGCCTATTAATTACAAATTAACTTACATTTTATGTTACTGTCAACAGTTTTCTAGCATAATTGTTGTAAAAAGTTGTTTTTCCACCTTCCAGGCAGACATTAGTTTCAGTCCATTTTGGTGCACTATGAAAATTAGCATTCAGACAGTACTAAAACCTGCTATAGGGAGACCTGTTCTGTCACAGTGGACAGCACATCTTCAGCATTTTTGTCAAGTGGTTCAGTAGGCTGCAACACTTTTATGGAACATTATTATCTGCAGGGCATAAATGTGATAAAATGAAGTTATTCTATTCACTAGTGTGAATAAAGGAAACAATAATAATAGTATGCATTATGATCATGCTTTACAAAAGGAATGAAGTGAGCATTATACACAGTGAAAATGTGCAACAGTAAGAGATTCCACAGAAAGTCTGTTCAGTAGTTAACGCAGTCACTTGTTAACCAACAAAGCACTGAACTGTAAAACTACACCTCAACATTTGATTTATATAAATATATTATAACTATAAACGCTTGGATTTAAAAAATGTAGAGTGGTGGTCAAAAAAGCATTTCAGAGTAGTGTGTTCCAGTAAAGATATTATTTTTATCAGTAGTGAGCAGTGTGCAGAATTACAATTTGCTTCTTTTGAGAGTAGTGCTCTGCTTTAATATTTATGTTGGGACGGCTTGGTCGCTTTCCTCCTAGGAGCTGGATGGAGGGTTGATATCAGTTTTGAAGGAGGAGAAATACACTGTGTGACAACTGCACATTTCAAATGCACCAAAACAAGCAAAACCACCTGCACGTTTCTTAAAGTTAACTTTGCCAGTACACCATTTCTTGCATTGCACTGTGAAAATATAATTGACAAGCATCCATTGGCAGGTTTGCAGCTATATATTAATGAATGTAATCCACTAAAGGTTTGAGTAGTGATGTAACATTCCATTTCTAGAAACTTTGGTTCATTCTCCTCAATTCACTATACGAGGGAGTTTGGACCTGGAGGTTTAATCTCATGTCATGCTTAAGAAGTGGATAGTGCTGCTTTAGTTCAAACCCAGTTCTGTGAATAGTTCCAATGTAGACTTGTCCACGAACTGTCCCATTACAGATATTAGAGGACAACCACACCCCACATTAACTTGTATCACTGGAAGCATTATTCTTAGATTCAGTAGTCACATATTCAGTGTGGTTCATATGACTGAAAGCTACCGTCTACCTCCAGTGTGGTTCATATGACTGAAAGCTACTGTCTACCTCAGTATCTTAAGGTGGCAACAGGATGTGAATCATAAAAACTCATATATGTACCCTTTCATAGCCAGCTAACGAGATGGAGAGAGGTAATGATGAGGATACGAGAGACGCAAATTGGGAGACTAAGCAGAAATAACGGAAACAATTCTCAGAACTCATGAAAGTCAAGACCAGCCACATACTTAGTAGCAAGGGCCACTAAGCATTATCGCCCAATCTCTTTAACTTGTGCCCAGAGGAAAACATTTTTGTAAGTGCTCTTATACATCTATTTAAAAAAGAAAAGTGAACACACGCAGTGCGCTGACAACCACAACTGACTTTAGAGGACTGAATGTGTAAGATGAAGAAACAATTATAGAGATCTGAGCTCTCATTTAACAGCCACAGTGCATTGTTTTAAAATGCACAATTTAACACAACTGCCAACTCCAAATGGATTTTGTTTTATTCAGTTTAGTCTAACCTGGGAACAGAAGAGATCCAATGTAAATTCTTAAACAAAACACACACTTTTCACGGAACATTTAACTGCTGTATTTTGATTTAATAAACCGTCTGGCAGTCACTCATGAAACTGTCTTCATGTTGTCAGCCTCCAACTTACATCTGCATATGGTAATAGCATCCAAGCACAATCAATTTCTATTTTAGTCACAATTTTTTCTAATTTTCATCACAGTCGATTGGGAATTTATAATATCACCTTGCAGTCAAGACCTAAAAACAGTGGTAATTTTTAGCTGCCTTGCCATTTTTGAAAATTACTCCTCTTCTAGCCTCAGCCCAGCCTGCATTTCTTTGGAAAAGGCTGAACCATTCTGTAGTATAAACATTTTTCTCTGAATAGTTTCAGCACTGTGCAAACATTAATGCAGTGAGGAGGGTTCTTTGGTGCACTGGTGGAAAAAAATAGCTCATAACACACAAGGATCCTGCAAAATCTTTGCAATCAATAAAACAAAGACATTAAACAAAAAAGTTTGAAGGCTACTGTAGTTGCATGTGCAATTAATAATGTTAATCTGAATTTCTCCAGCATCTACTCACCGTGGCAGTGATGAGTACGCCATGAAGCTGTGCATAGAGCAACGCCTCATTAACGTACTCTCTGACCCTCAGCAGGGACAGCTCCAGGCTGTGGCGCCCAGCCATGGCATTGGTTAGTTGATCCAGTAAGCTGGTGTACCTCCTCCAAGGCTGATCCAACTCCGACATGCTGGCCAAACAGCCTCGCATTACATTTAAACAGTAGCCCATGCAGGGCTTGATCAGTGTCAAGCCTCTGCAATGAGAGCAGTACACCATCTTCACCAGTCCCTTCACACACTCTTTGCTCAGGCTGAAATGTTCAGTGGCATTCATCATGTCCAGACCCACTTCCAAGGCCAGTCCCAATTGTCGCCCAGCTCCCAATGTCCCAGCTAGCTCCTGAGCCATGATGGCTGGATGAGACCCAAAAGGGTTGACATCCTGCCTGATCATACGGAGACAGTCATCCATTTCACTGCCTACTGTCATGCTACCTTCAACGCCTGGATTGATGAGCTGTGTGTAGACAAGTGGGAAGAGGTTGTTAAAAAACCGGTGAACTGCTACCTCTACAGAAACGTTGGCTCCACGGAGGTAGAGGGAGAGTGAGGAGAAGAGCTGATTTACATGGCGTAGAGCATGGCGGGACAGGGATGAGTAGGTTACCTCCAACAGAGAACTCAGGTGGCCCTGAGAGAAGGATAGTAGATACTGGAACATGTCTGGAAGGTAAGCAGAAAAAAAAGACAGAAATAAGAAATAGAAGGCCAAATGACAAATGTCAATTTCAGTCATTTTATATGAGAGAAGAATGAAAATAAATGAAAACATGATCTACAGGCTCTCCGGGAAATGGTCAGGCATTCAAAATGTAAACACATGTCCAAACCCTGGCTCCCAGCAGGCTAGGATTGGCTTGTATGCATCAGTTAGTTGGGCTGATAAACTATTCTCAAGTTTCCCTAAAATGTTGTTGGATATCACTGTGTATTATCACCCCATTAAGTATATTTTAAGGACACTGCAAGACAAAATGGAGAGAGAGAGAGACAGAGACCTGGACAGCATCCTGATATGAGCAGTAACCACAATCAATTTGATTTTCTGTGACAAATTGCATATAATCCAGATTCTACAGGGATATTTGATATCCAACCAAGCCACAACACACACAAGAGACAGCCGAGTCCAGTCCTGATGTCATTTCCTGATGAGCATGTGAAGCTGTAAAACCATCAGTGGTCTCAGTGCAAAGGCTGATTAGTGCCAATATAGTACTGCATCTTACTATGTAGTGTACGCATATGTCTGTGTGTTAGTTTATGTGTACGTGTCCAGGACACAACTTTCCTCTTGTGTGTGATGCCAGCTTATAAACATGCCAGGACATGGAGCAGTAGCAACTGTACAGAAAATGAGACAGGAGGAGGAGGGTCCTAACACACATACCCCCTAACCACCACATACACAGGGCTGACAGTCAACCAAAGAAAATTAATCCTGTACCGTGAGCTTTAGTCAAAAAAAAGGTTTCCTTGATGTTAACACATTAAATCATTCAGTAAGAGTATCTTACACATTGTGAGTCTATTTCAGCACAGTGATTATTACCAAATAAAGTGTGTGTGACTGTGTGTCCAGCCCCTCCCTGCTCACAGACAGAAGGATAACAACAGCCATGTCACCCCCAACAGCTGCACTAATGTGACTGCTGTCTATGACACAGGGGGACTCCCCACCGCCCAGTAGAAAGCCCAACTCACTTGCAACGCACCAGAAAACACTGTAGTCATGATCAGAACAGCTCCTGCTCACATACATTTATAGTTGTAGCCTGGTGACTGACAGCACGACAGAAATAAGCACACAGACACGAGATGTTATGGTCTTTTAGAGATTATTACTGTAGACCTGACTAGAGACAAGAGCAACAAAATGGGAAACACAAAAAGAAAGGGATTTGAGGGAGCAAACAAAAACACAATGAGATTGGCCAAGGATTTGTCAACTTGATTTGTAAAGTTGTAGTTTCAGATCCATTTCAGTGTCTCCAAAGCCTGCAGAGTTGACACTACTTTGAGGTCTGCTGCTTGCCTGTCAGGCCACAAGGCTCAATAGCCACCAGATGTTTACACTACAAGATGTACCCACAGCATTCCATAATGGTATTATAAAATTATCATGTTCAGAAATACCATGGTTTATTCTTACTCTATGTGAGCTGTGGGGGAAATCAGTCTCATACTTCTCAAGAGTACCATGAATTGATGAACATCTTTCAGGAGGTTTATGACAGCATCATTAATTCCATACTAGTTCAAAAGCATATTTTTATTTGCCAAGC